ATATTTATACTTTATATATATAAAGTATAAATATATATATATATATATATATTTAAGAAAATAAATAATCAAAACAAAATTATATATATGAATGTAAGTTATGATTTTAGCTTCATTCCGTCCTTGGTCTTCAAACACCCGATTCTTGGCGAGATATATATTGAAAAGAAAATTAAATTAATTCAATAAGAGATTAGGTATTTAGGTTTGGGTTTGTTTACAAAGGAACTAAAATGTTTTAATAATGTATAATGTAAAGAAGATGTAATCATGTAGGTCGACAAAAAAGAAAAAAGTATTTTTTGACGTTTGAAACACTTTGATGTATTCATTATGGTTATAATCTAACGTCCTACCCTACCCACCATTCTCCCCAAATATTCTCCTGTATCCTGTAACCCTCCATTCTCAATAAATATTCTCCTATATCCTACCCTCCATTCTCTATAGATATTTTCCTATATCCTACCCTCCATTCTCTATAGATATTCTCCTATATCCTTCACTCCATTCTCTATAGATATTCTCCTATCCTACCCTCCATTCTCTATATATATTCTCCTATATCCTACCCTCCATTCTTTATAGATATTCTCCTATATCCTACCCTCCATTCTCTATAGATATTCTCCTATCCTACCCTCCATTCTCTATAGATATATTTTATATCCTTCCCTCCATTCTCTTAAGATATGTTCCTATATCCTACCCTCCATTCTCTTTAGATATTCTCCTATATCCTACCCTCCATTCTCTTTAAATATTCTCCTATGTCCTACCCTCCATTCTCTTTAGATATTCTCCTATATCCTTCACTCCATTCTCTATATATATTCTCCTCTATCCTATCCTTCATTCTTTATATATATTCTCCTTTATCCTACCTTTCATTCTCTATATATATTCTCCTATATCCTACCCTACTTTCTCTATAGATATTTTCTATATCCTACCCTACTTTCTCAATAGATATTCTCCTATATTCTACCCTACTTTCTCTATAGATATTTTCTATATCCTACCCTACTTTCTCTATAGATATTTTCTATATAGTACCTTCCGTTCTCTCTAAATATCTCTCATCCTATCTCAAATCCTCAATTCTCTGAATCTCATATCATCTCCAACCTTCTAATCTATCTAAATATCTATCTCCTATCCTCAAGATATCCTACACCTCCTTTCCTTAAATCTCTAGATATCCTAAACCTCCTATTCTTTATTCTCTCTAGATATCCTAAATCTCCTATTCTTTAGTCTCTAGATAAGGCTGAAACCTATTTTTTTGTGTGGCATTTTTAGTAGATATAATTGATAATATTATTTCATAAAGTCCTTATTACGCCACCAGAACTTCAGCCAATGACAGTGCAATATACTGGTCACGTGATTTCCGCCTGTATCACGTGACCAGTACCATTGTTTATAGAACATGCCACGTTGTTTTGTATACTTTCGTGTCGGCATCTTTATTATGCCTATATTCATATTATGAGTTTTTCGTTTTATTCTTTTCATGTTGATTTCATGAAACGATATAATCTTATAAAGAGTCTAAAAATGAATAACGGTTCAACTTCAAATTTATCTGAGGTTCCACACATGTTTGATTATTATATATATATCTATTTATAAAGTAGTAATCTGTGTTTTTTTGGATGTCCGATCATAATTTAGGGACCTAGGTGGAACCAGGTGAATGTTTTTTGATTGGTTTGAAAAGGTTAGGGTTGACTTTTATAGAGAAAGTTTAGTTTTCAGGTAAATCTGGGTTTCAGAGCTAGTGGGGTTTTCTTGCAAAGTTTTATGATTATTTAATTGATTTAAAATTATTTTTACTAACTAATGTAAATTGTACTCTCTGAGCAGGCCGGTACGGACCAGCTCGCTGACTAGGACGGTGCTCTGGACAGGCCGGCTAGGTGAGCAGGCCGGTTAAAATGGACCGGACGGACGGTGAATCAGGGTAGAACTAGGGCTAAGGGGATATTCTAGGGAAATTCCCGGCCTTATAGGACTACTGGTCATATACTTATCTTATTAATATACAGAGTTAACACAATTTACATACATGTGTATATGTATATGTACGTATAAATATATATATATTTAAATACTAGTTTTCCCTATAAACGTCAACTTTTTAACCAAACCGACGCATGAAGTCCTACCGAATTTTCCAATAAAAGTTTGAGGCAAATTGGTCAGGAGGTTCTGCAGACAGCCAAACAAACAGATATTTATACTTTATATATATAAAGTATAAATATATATNTCCTTTCCTTAAATCTCTAGATATCCTTAACCTCCTATTCTTTATTCTCTCTAGATATCCTAAATCTCCTATTCTTTAGTCTCTAGATATCCTACATTTACTACCCTTTATTCTCTCTCTAAATATATTACATTTCCTACCCACTATTCTCTCTAGATATCCTACATTTCCTACCCACTATTCTCTCTAGATATCCTACATTTCCTACCCACTATTCTCTCTAGATATCCTACATTTCCTATCCACTATTCTCTCAAGATATCCTACCCTTTTGTCTCTCTACATATCGAACACTTCCTACCCTTTGGTCATTCTTGATATCCTACATCTCCTCCCCTCAAGTCTCTCTGATATCCTAAATCTTCTAGACATCGTGCATCTCCTACCCTCCATTCTCTAGATATCATACCTTTTACCAGTTCTTGAAAACAGGTTCAGTCAAAGATTACAATATTTAACACCGCAATACTTATTACAGCTCGATTCTATTTAACAAAGATAAAACTGTCAACAAGGAAATCTATTTTAACCTTCCTAACTTCACAAAGATGAAAATATCACCAAGAAATCTATTTTAACATTCCCAACTTCACAATAATTTAACGTAGTAAATGCAGAGTTTAGAATTAGTGGTTTATTTCATTACCTAGGGTGTACATGGGGTGTACAGACCCAGATTTATGTACAATTACATGTACAATTACATGTACAACTACAAGGTGCAGTGTACACACTACATAACAGGATAATTTACTTTTTAACAATTACCGAGGATCGACATTTTTAAATTACACAGAAACGTAAAAGGTCAATGCCACGAAAAAAATATATTCGCGTACTGCGAATACACAGGGGCGTGGGACACATTGCAGTACATTTGCAGTACACTGAATGTAAACAATGGAACCCCACAGCTCCTGAATCCTCTAGTAACATATCACAGAACTAAAGCGAATCTTCTATTAACAATTTTACACAATATCTATTTTTCAACAAGTTTTCCTCCCAAATAATAATTTCATACCATACTTTGGTTATTTCATAGATGTAACAAAACATAGATATTTGATAATATATACTGGCCATTATTACCAAATCAGATGTTGGTAGAAAACGGAGATCACGTGTTAGGAGGGAAAACAACTGAGAAAGAAAAAATAACGAGAAAACGAGGATTTGTACAACGTATGGGTGGCTGCTACTGAAACTTATCACAATACAGACTGAATGTAGATCTGACCCCAGGAGGGCAGATAGGATTGATTTTATAAACACTGAGATAATTTGAAGGATCGTGTGTACACTAGAAATATTGGGGGAAACCAACCAAAGGTTTCCGTTTGAAAAGAAAAGAGAGCACGCACATTTTTTTCTGAATGAATTTCGGCCAAACTAACTGAACACAGAAATTTAACATTAAATTAAGTCTCAGAAGAAACCGGAGGTTTGTGATCGATTACGCTCTTTCTTCTTGATCAATTGATTGATTAGATCACTTGCTGCTCAATCACACACTGGATGAATGTTATCTATATCCATGTATATAGACTATTACTAGATGCACTCTAAAGGTTTGAGTTTAGGGTGGATACCGGATATATCAGACTGGGAATGTATTGAAAAAAACTAACATTTTCAAAAAGTCCGGTTTACCGGCCTCCTTCAGACTCGGAAGCCGGTCTGAACACTTTATCAAACTTATGTACAGCCGGCACCGAGCTGAACTCTGGTACACAGTGATCTGTAGACTCTATGTGCGGTGAGCGACGAACCGTTCCGCGCTCTCTGTGTGTACCCGTAAGCCAGGGATGAACCAGTACATCTTCAGTCGTTAATCGCTCCTCCGGCTCCTTCTTGAGTAGGGAGCGGATCAGACACTTAGCCCTGGAGCTGAGAGAATCTGGTAGATTAAATTGTCCGCGTCTAATTTTGGCAAATAGTCCACTATGCTCGGCCCCATGGAACGGATACCTGTAATATTAAAGAGTATTAACTGAGGTGGAACGAATAAGAACTACAAAGAAATTCAAGTTGGAATAAGGATGGAAACAAAGACATTAAGAATAAAGGAATTTAAAAATAGTTTTCAATGAAACAAAAAAATGAATGAATGGTTTACCTGCCGACTAGCATAGTGTACAGCATAACACCAAGTCCCCACATATCTGCAGCTCTACCCGAATAACGCGTGTTAGATCTAAATAAGAAATATTGATTTCTACTATTCTTCTACGACAGAAAGTTTTCTGTTCAGGACACTTCCAGTTTTTCAAGATGTGTTTTATTAAATAGGAGTCACTTTATCCGTCTATTTTTAACGTGGCAATTTTCTTTAACTGCAAGTGATTTTATTATGAACAATTAAACTAAATCATCCACTTTTGTCTCTGCTTATATATTATTATTTAGTTCTACATTTTATTAGGACTTTGTGCGGGATTATGAAAAAGATACGACTAGGCAGAAAATGAAACATGATCCGTGACACAACTAAAATAAATACTAAGCTGTGTATGCCAACCTAAGTATTTCTGGGGAAACGTATGCTGGACAACCATGTTTATCTGAGAGAATATCATCCTCGGCTGTATCCAGGACTACTGCATCTTCAAGGGATTCCAGCTTCAGTTCAACCCTGTAATACAAGGATAATTAGATATTGATATATTTTATTCAGTGCTTGGGATCCAGATACATATCAAAATATCAACTAAACTGCAAACATAAGCGAAAAAGAGAGGGGGAAAAATTCTAAAAATCTTCATTTGTTTAAAAACTTGGATTTTAAAGAAATATTCTTGACCTGGATTTATTCATAATTTAACCCCATTCAGTCATTTTCATGATCCCTACTACGTTTTTAAGTCAAATTATTTATAGCGCTGGATCGGGGGAATAAATCAGAGGTAGAGGAAAAATTAAGTTTAGAAAACAGGGGGAAAACAAGTCAAATTTTCTTGGTAGTTTAACAAATATTTTACCCTCATGCTTATGAGGTCATTGTTATTTAAAGGGATGACAAGTATTTTACAACTGTTAATTTGTAAATTACGGTTTAGCAACTCCAGTTCTTTGGACACTGCTCACACACTAGATAAAAACACAGGGATGAATACATTTTTGTAATTAACATTAAAAAATCTAAGTTTTCCTACAACAATATAAAGATTTCAGACTAAGAGATTAAGTTGTATATACCGCTCCTGAAAAGTGCTATAAGGGGGGGGGGGGGCAAAAAAACGAGATACAGGGTTAAGAACCATTAAAAATTCTTAACGATTGTATAGGAGTGCAGTGGTTGAAGATGAAGATGGTGGGAGGGAATAAAAGAATTCAAAAACAAATTCCTGGCGCAACATGATACGTTTATATTGAATTTAAAAACAACAAAACAACATTGCAAGATCCTATATTTTTCATCTTAACATTCCAGCCCTCCCTCCCCCCCCCTCTCCTATTCTTACTCCACATACGGTTCTAGTTTTATATTGGGGGGTTCATTTTACTTGTCAGGGAGGATAGGGGTTGGTAGGTTTGGCTTAATAGGGGTTGCCGGAGAAAGGTTGAATGCTAGGGTGGGGTTTTGATACGTATGAATAATTAACTATCTATCTATCAAGTGTAACTGAGCAACGAACTCTAGTCTTCTATCTATCGTTTTTTAACAAATCCCTACCCTACGATCTTTTACTAGAATTCAGTATTTTCTTCTCAATATATTATGCCAAAAACTTTGGTATCATCAGCATCTGAGTGTAACTGAGTAATGAACTATCTATCTATGAGTGTAACTGAGTAATTAACTATATATTCTTCTATCTATCTATGAGTGTAACTAAGTAATTAACTATCTATGAGTGTAACTGAGTAATTAACTATCTATCTATGAGTGTAACTGAGTAATTATCTATCTATGAGTGTAACTGAGTAGTTATCTATCTATGAGTGTAACTAAATAACTGTTCAGAACACGTCGCATGAATACCGTAAAGGTAGAGAAGTGCAGGTTAGTAAACCGTAAATCCTACACAGATCAAATATCTGTTAGAAATCTAATTATTAATATCAACCCTAATATCTAGATCCTATTCAACACATATGCTAAGGGTATATTTACTCAGGTGCAAGTTTAATGGCTTTAATAGCGCTGTTTGTTGATATTAAGATCTAGTCATAGGATTTAACTCTTGAATACAGTATGCTCAAGATAATATTATTTCTTATACGTTCACTTTTCATAAATTTTGATTACTAATTCAACCAATTAAAACTCTACAATATGGACTTCAAAAAAAAAATACGTTGAAAATCATAAAAAAAACTTAAGATAGAGCTAATAAACATGTTAATAAAGAATAAAGAATGTAAACTGGTTTGATATATCTAAAAACTCGCGAGCCTAGTCCTAGGGGCAGCGAGACTCAATTTTTCTTTGTATTTTGGGGGGTGAAGGACCGTAGCGGTTGGATAGATAGATAGCGGGCAGACTGAACAAAGACTGTTGCTCTTGTATCTAATCCACCTGTAGAGACTAGAGTACTCTACAGTTCACCCACTCTTTCTCTAGGCAATACCAATACTATTGCCAGGGGGGGGGGGTTACAACATTTATACGATTTGTTAAATTGAAGTTACAAACCTCCTTTAATAAAAAAACTTATTTGCAATATCCCTCAGTATGACATTTTTCGTAACAAATTACAAATATGTTAAGTTCCAGACTAAAAAGCTTATTTTTACATTGAAAGGGGGGGGGGGGGATTTTCAAAAGAAAAACCTAAAGGAATCTATATTGGTAAGGAAGCCAAGTACTTGAAAGAAGCCTAGTATGGAGTAGAGAAGATTTCTCTTAAATCTAGTTGGAGAGTTTCTCCAGGATTAGAAGAAACCATCCTTCGACCTAACTTTCTCCCTTCTCCTTCCTTCCTTCACGACTTTCCTCTAATCAGCCAAAACTCAGATTTAATAATATGCAAGGGTTAAATTATCATTCACCCCGAGTTAACAAATATTGTCTCCAAAAATGAGGTTTATTAAATTTATTCCGTAAGTTCTAAACATTTAGGTTATTTAAGTTCTTTAAAGCTTATGCGTTTACTAGAAGTTTTTTTTACGCAAAAAAACCGCAATTGCTTTCTTTCTCTAACTCTTCTAGGGGTCATAGTTTTATGTAAGTAACACATTAAAGATTTGGTTAATTTAAGACCTTTTTTTGTCAAAGTACAAATTTTGAATATAATCAAGGAGTCTTGTTTATCAGATATGAGGGGGGGGGTGATGATATGTATCAGACGGGTCTAGACAAAGAGAATGCAGTTTCTAAAAAACCTGATGAAAACATTGGGTGAAATTTAATAAAAACGTTGACAAAGTAAAAATTGTAGCCAGATCAATATGTATATTATGAATGGGGTTGAAAATGTTGTCATGAAAGCTGGAGGTGTGCTTGTATCTAACTCCCATGATGTTTGCTGGTAACAGTATAAACTGTATCCCAGCAATTTAATAAACATTTTGTAGAACCTCCTCCCTCTCTACACACTAGAGTGTAGTATAGTATCCTAGCTATAGTATTGGTTTGTGTTTAGTATAAATATATATATATATACACCTTGCAACCCCAGATACAGTAATATAAACAGAGCAGTTCACAGCGCTAAGCAGGGTGGGGTGGGGTGGGGGTCAGGGAGAGGGGTTAAGAGAAGCTTCAAATCTGAGATTTCAAAATTAGAAATTTCTATTGGAGAGCAATTTGCCATATTTATTAAAATTTGGTAAGTTATCAAAAAGAGCGACCATAGGTCAATGTCAATATATTCATAGTAAGAAGTAGTTCAACGAGAACCTCATAGTTTAACTACTTCTCTAACCGTACCTTCTTAGACTAAGTCTTTATGGCACAAAATTTTCTACCTTCGAGACAAGTAATACATTTCTTACTTTTTATTCTTATCACAGATTCTTTTCAGGCATAGGAACTCTTTTTTAAATCTTGACAGCCCCCCCNGGTATGCAATATTCATGGTATGAAAGCTTGAGAAGAGAGGGTAACCCCTGCTTCAGGCAGAAGGCACTGGGCAGGTTTTGGTCTAGGCTTGACAGGTCACTTCACAGTTATATTTCATATCTAATAACTCTCTCCTCTTCTTCCTTTCCTAACAGGAAAATAATCTATCAAAGCTGTTCCCCATCGTTAGGCAATTAATCTTGCAATCGCTTGCAATTAATATGACGCGATATGACATCTTCCTATCTCGGGATAAAAAAATACACAACCTAGAATGCGGATTTGTGACGAAGAAGATATATCCAAATGGACTAAGTATATATTCCTCACATAAAAGAATGACGTAGGGTCAATAAAGAAACGACGCGAAAATAAGAGTAAACAATGTGTTATTCATAAGAGAAACGAGGAGTTAAGAAGAGAGAACAAAAAAGCGGTATGTGGCGAAATGTGAGTGAAATCCTACTAGTCCCCTCCACTAGTAGAGGGGGGGACTAGAAACTAGAGAGTTCTAAAGTTTCACCTCTCTACAGCATAGAGCTTGAAAACCAGGGTTACTCAATGTATTTAGAAATAATATTTCATCATCAGATTCCTATATTACTACATACATAATATGTTTTAAGACTCTAAACCTAAATCTAGTTTTTAGAAATCCAGGGTGTCGGAATAATAAATTATTTATCGTGTGTCAAAGATTTTATTATCAACTATTATCAACGACGCATTAATGCCAATAGATTATTAATTCCTATTTAACTTATCTATTTCCTTATCACGAACTTTTTATCATCTAATAAATAAACACGAAACAATTGTATTTCTTGATCCAGCTTCAGGAGAAAATGTGTTTCTAATGTATTCCAAAACGTCAGCTTTAGTAAGACTTTTTACAGTTTTTTTAAAGCAAAATTTATCAACCGTAGGTGTGTAATGCTGGTATGCCAAGTTTGTTGTTTAACCCTAACATTAAGAAATGCAAGTGAAAACTAACTGTAAGTTTTCTTTTAAATTCTCCATTACTTAAAAAGCTCAAATTTGACGATAAAAAAAATCCTACCTTGATTCGTCTGTGAACACAAACTTCCGTAGTTTAAGATCTCGGAGTACAATCCCGGCGGAGTGGGCCGAATGCACGGCCGAAACTATCTGGCGGAAAAGCTGGCGGGCAGCTGCCTCCCGTAACCGCCGTCTAGATCTGACATAAGAATGGAGGTCTCCAGCACAGGAGGGAAACACAAGGTAAACATTCTCAGCTCCAACAACAACCTCCTAAACAATATTTACAAATATTAATTATTAGAAAAAAAGATTTATTTACAAATAAATATCGGAATTGACAGACAAGCAAAATCTTGATTTCAAATAATATCAAAGTTAAAAGTATCACTCAAATCAAAGGTTGTCAGCTGTCACTCAAAAATTGATTTTAATTTTGCCAATTACGTTTTTAAAAACCTAAATTAAACACGAGTGTTATAAAGTTATAAACTGAACATGCCTACTCTAGGGCTCAAAAAAGCACAAGTGAACTATTTCAGGTAAAATTAAAGGCTACGGCGTTGCATCATCTTAAAGATGTCCCAGTCTTAAAAATGCAAATTTTCAAAGCAGTCGGGATCTAAGTGGCTACAAATACAAGATTTCTACCTGAATAGTGTTAATATGGGATTGACCGTCTACTCTATAGTGTGCAGCTAGTAAACGCTGACCTGAACCGTCACGACTCATAACCTAGAGAAAAAAACAAAATTAGAATAGTTCTCCATGCTGCAATCTTAACCCGAGTTTATTAGAAGTCTTCCATAATCCACCAGTCTTTCAGAAAGCAAACCTTTCAATTTTATTTAACATGTATTAGATATGTATTTCTTTATATCATTAGGGGGATTGAAATTCAAAAATCGCATTTGTGGAGGTATAACAATATATTCTCACATATTTAGACTCAGAGCTCTATTATTTAGTTATACACGGGTTATAAAGTAATAGTTTAGTACAAAGGGGTTCTTGTATGAATATTGACCCCTATATTTTAAGAAAATATGGATCTAGGAGAAATTAACTTATGATAATCATAGTTCTTTCAATTCAAGTGTCTGGGTTAAAGCGCTGACATGATAAACCTGAATTTAATATTTTAGTCTAGTTTAAATCTGGCTTTCTCGACATATTCAAAATTAATATGTAGTTTGGACCCGCCTAACCTAGAGTTGGTTGTTTTGATGGTTGGCCCATTTTAAGCGATCATAAGAATTGTAAATAAATAGATGGATGTACACTGACAGTGTAGTGTAGTGTACTTTTTTAGCAAAACAATTGATAAAACTGCAGAAGGACAGAAGGATACACGGATGGGGGGGGGTTTGACCAGCATATTTTAAGCTCTTGACTGGAAATATTTGAAACTGTGTTTACATCAAAGAAAGATTAAGTAAACCGAAAACTGATCTCAACGTTTGAAGTTAAGAAATATTTGGATCAAAGTGTTGATACATTCAAATTCAGACCGTAGGCAAATAATCATAAATTATAGAAATGAATTCTATTCTTGGCTAACAGGAAAATTATTGGTTTTCTTGAAGGGTTCATTTTCACCAGTGTGTTTCTGAATGATAAAATTTTTAGATTCACTTGATAAAAATTCAATGTTTTTCTCATTTCAGCGTTAAAATCCATAACGTTTCAAATACATGATAAACTTGAAATGTAACAGGGGTGTGACTGCTGAACATGACCTAGTATAAACTATTATGACCTGAATACATGAAATATAAACCGTGTAGCTTGGCATTGTATACAGTATACACTATACAGACATTGTCAACATTAATATTCATTGCACTCAAGTAAACATCTGTTGTCAGTACACAGTACCCAGTACACTAGCCATACCTTAAGTACACTTTCACTCCCTATTTTAAAAGACACACCATGTTATAATTTAAAAGGTTTAAATGAAAATAAGGTTATTACAACTTCACTTCCAGAGTTTCACCCTGTATTACAGTTAAAAGTTCTATTTTCTATAGGGGTAAAGAAAGTGAAATGTAAAACATCTGTTAACAAATCAGCAGCATGAAGAGAACAAAGTTTTTTTTTAATTCTTGAGAAAGTAAAATTACATTTGAATTAAAGGAATTATTAATTTCTCCTCCTTATTTATAATTTTCAAAGATCCGTGTTATAAACCAAAGTATTTGTCTATTTTTATTTCATCGGCGTATGTGAGGGGGGGGGGGGGGGGCATTATCAAATCCCTAAAATTCAAGAATATGCCTTAAAAACTGTATTCTCTAGCCCAGGGTTAGGATTTCATCACTTCTATGAGTTTTCAAGGAGAAATTCTACCAAATCATGTTTTAATTCTACCCAGTACCCACCCTAGGCACCGGGCACCCCTTCCCGTCCATAATCATATCATGATCAATTTTCTCACACATGAAATACTACAGAAAAGCACAATTGCATTCTTAAATACAAATTTATGAAAATGTTAAAGCTAAATTTTTCATATCGTATAAAATATCATATTTCAGTGCTCCCTGGGCTGTCTACTAGAGTACATTCACTGATATTTATGAGAAATTTCTAAATTCTAAATGTTTGCAATGAATATACTTGAAACCGGTTGCTTCATAACTAGAATTAGCAAATCAAGCTTACACAATACATTCTCACATATTTAGTTACTAGAAATTCAAGGCGCTTCGCGCCCTTCTTTCTAGCCTTAGAGGGCGCCTCGCGCCCATCTTCTAAATTAGTTGTGAACATGTTCTCTTTGTATACATCGTAAAACAAAACAAAAATAATTCGCGGATTTTCACAAAAAATTTCGCGGATTTTATTGATAACAAACATTATTAATTCAAACGTTTATTTGTAAGTAAATTATTCATTTTTATTGAATACTTCCCCCCTCGGGTAACTCAAAAATGAATGCTATATTTATGTTGAAAATATATTTGTTAAATAAATCACGAAAAACGTGTTGTTTATGTGGTAGGCTGTCTATGCTATGTTCGATTTAAAGAGAAAATACCTTTTACCAATACACCATCAGAATTTATTTTTCTAAAAATTAACTAGTACGCATTGTGTACGCCTCCATCTCCCTCCTGTAACTTCCAGATTATAAAAGTATACGGTTTCGAAGAAATATAACACTTCTCTCCGAGCTTAATAATCTATTAAACCATCGCGCGTATAGTCCCACAAAAATCTAACATCACCAATTTCCCCAATATTAACAATTTTACTGAGAAAAGTTCAAATATTTGAAATCTAATAAACAAAGAATTTTCTCCTGTTATTGAATATTACATGGGGGGAGGGGGGAGACCTAGTACAGAGTTAATAGATCCATGTGTAGTGTTGAGTGTATACGTGATGTGAAGCAAGGTCCTATTATCATCTATATAGTTGAGAAATCTTAAATCCGACCTTGGTTTTCAAACCAGCTTCAGTCATTCATTTAGTATCCTAGACCTTTCAGACCTTTTCAGGATATACGGATACCAGGATACAGAGATACAAGGGCAGAAGGATACATGGATATAGAGATTAAAGGGCAGAAGGATATACGGATACCAGGGTACAGAGATACTAGGGCAGAAGGATACATGGATACAGAGATTAAAGGGCAGAAGGATATACGGATACCAGGGTACAAGGATATAGAAATTCAAGGACAGAAGGATACGGATACCAGGGAACAAGGATACAGAGATAAGGACCTAGAAAGATACACGGATACCGATATACAAGGACAGAAGGATACACGGATATAGGTATAAAAGGGCAGAAGGATACACGGATACAGATATACAAGGACAGAAGGATACACGGATACCAGGGCCGAAAGATATACGGATACTAGGGTACAGAGATACAAGGGTACAAGGATAGAAGGACAGTAGGATACAGATATCGTTTATAGTAGGGTAGGATATGGGTTCGCTAAATCCTTATGTTCCATCCATATTTCCATGAGTTTCAAAATTTATTAAATAAAAGAATACTTTTTTTAATTCATGAAGTTTGGGAGGAAAAAGCAATTATGTAACCGGATCCGGAACCCTAATACGGATCCTAGGCAATAGATAAAGGTACGTACACAATAAAAATAAATAACGCACACCCCCTAGACCCTAAAATATAGCTAAATTATTTGGAGGTTTAGAACAATTTGTCAAGCTGCTAATGGCACTGTTTTAATCTCATACTGTTCTCATTCTCAGGTTAAATGAAATTAGCTTCAGCATAGGGTTTCGATAAGTGCATAATTAGAAGAGATAATTTAAAACTGCGCTTAGACGTATTGTGACCGGTCAAATTCTAGTTATAATTCGATAACAAATAGCACATTTTAGTCCTGTTTACCCCTTGTATTAAAATATTTAATAGATACATAAAAGAATTTTTGCAATGTTTCGAATACTACATTGCACCGCAGAAAAAATTAACAAATCCGTTTCACGAAAATCCTAAGAAAAGTATTATTTATTGTGTGTAATAACTAAATAAACTGCAGAAGTTCATGTTTACAATTAGTTTCTAATCAACATATCGGGGAAATGACTGTAAAAGCTTGAACTTAAATGTACTTATATATTTTACCCAGCTGAAGAAAATGGTCGTCCCAAAAATACAAGAGAGCTCCTTACCTTACAGACATACTCCTGATTGGTTGCTAAATGTAAACATCTATGTAGAGAAGCTCCTTCTATTTCCTCTAAAAGCAAATACTTGCCGCCCAATAGGGAGGCGGACTGACCCTCCCGGGGATGCCCAGGCAGCAATGAGGGCGGAAGTGGTGCACAGTCATATGAACCGTCTCTATTTGGAGGCGGAGGTAGAGGTGTTGGATGGGGCGGAGATTGAGTTCTAGGAGGTGGAGAGGGTTTATGAATAAAGAACTCGTTTGTGCCCTCCTCCTCCTTTTGTGAAAGGGGTGAGGGGAGGGCCCGAGGGAGGGGGAGGGGCGGAGAACTAAGAGGACTGGATACCAACATGTTTAAAAAACAGCTGAATGAATAAATCACTTTTGAAAGACTGGTAGTAGAATATTTTATCTGGTCGCGGGGCAGAGCGGTATCTCCTGAAAAAGAAAAAATATTATTAATTTATGATTTTATGTCGCAAGCCTTAATATCGGGTTCAAAAATGGCCAAAACAAATAAACGGGTCTGTCGATAGAGAACGCTTTTTGGACCCCCCCCTAATTTTAGAGGCCCAATTTAAAGTCCAGAACCGAAAAGCAGAATTTTTTCAACTGTTTAAGTAAAACTTGTTTCGTCAAGATACGAAAAACCATGTTTAAAAAAAATCATGATAAATTTAGAATCAGTCCATATTGCATTCTCGAGTTACCAAGCCTTTAATGATTCGTTACGTCACAAACCTGGATTTATAAAATTCTGATTTACGTCATTTTTGCTGAAGAGGCAAAAGAAGGACTGTCCTTCAGCAATAAATAAAATTATGGGAGCGACTCATTCATTTCATTTTCAACTAACTTCATTCATGATAGATTTAAAGTATGTTTGTTTTGGGTTCCATAAAATTATAATTCAAATGCAATATTGAATAGAAAATATTTAAATCATAGTTTCCCTTAAAGGTTTGAAAAAAAACCAGCTTCCTCACATTTAACACCCTCCTTTCTCCTGCTGACTATTTCCCGGGTATNGCTAGTATCCCCCCTCTTCATCCTCTCAGCTGACAAACATCCGCTATGAACTTCCCATCTAAATTTTAGGAAATGTTCCCTCATATAAACATTGGAAGGTTAAAAGGAAAGAGAATGTTGTACAGCCTTGGTTAAAGTTTCGACACTTTTCCCGCGCGCCCTTCAAATACCATACAAGGTCGCGCGTTTTGTGCACGGATTTCTCGGCAACAAATATAATCAAACTTCATGGTTTCCATGGAATAATAACGATCATTTTAATTCGCACTTGATGCTATATTAATTAAAGTTTAATCACTAATAACTACCTGAAAACTTTATGCCGACGACCGAGTGTAAAATCACAATCACAGCTGTCGTTAAGACATTGTTACCGCTCCGCTCCCACTAGGAGACTGGCAGTACAGCTGGTCTGTAGTAACCGCGCTGATTTCTCAACACCATCTAGCGGATTTTTCTTTAACTTTCACACCGCGTGGACTAAATCCTAGACAATCAGCTGATTCAACATACGATTTTCCCGCGGCTGTCTGCGTTCATGCTGCAGCCACTTCTAGCCACAATCACATGTGCAACACGAGGGGGGGTGGAAGAGACGTTTACGCCCTAATTTTTTATCTGCTGTTACCTTTCATCATATTCCTAGTTTTATTCAACTACAAAGCACGAGATAATACAAATAAAAAACCACAATTTAATATGTAGTTTGGACCCGCCTAACCTAGAGTTGGTTGTTTTGATGGTTGGCCCATTTTAAGCGATCATAAGAATTGTAAATAAATAGATGGATGTACACTGACAGTGTAGTGTAGTGTACTTTTTTAGCAAAACAATTGATAAAACTGCAGGAATAAGGTAAGGAGGGGGTGAAAAGATAAGGGAAAGGGTGGGTACTCAGCAGAAGGGTTGTAACAGAGGGTTTAACATATATTAAATTAGAATCATATTTATGAATTACAGGGTGAAGAAGATAACAAAGACTATAAGTTTATCCAGTGATGAAAAAAGTTATTTTCTTATGCAGATAACTTGCATAACTATCTAAATAGTTTTTGAAGATTTTTCTTTTAAACAGTTTTGCAGATTTAGTTTCTTTAAGCTCTAATTCAATCGAATTCCATAATTTCGGAAATAATCAGTTTACAAAAATCAAAAACATGGATATCTATAATTCATGCTTGATCAGACAAAGGATATATGGGTACCTTTGTGATTCGGACAAGCAATTCTATCAATTTGAAGGGTCACTTTACCAAACAAAATACTATACATTAAACAAAACATACAAAAGAAAGTATTCTCAATCAAACTTTTTACCAAAAAGGTGAAGAGTTGGAAGCAGTTATTTTCCATACACAGAAAAAGTGAAAATTAAAATCAAACCTAATTCTTAAACCCCTATGCCCCCCATAAAAATCCCTGAATTGCATACAAGTTTCTTAAAATAATTCCAGATTCTAGATTACAACGTTAAAAAAATATTGCATTTGCCGTGTATTTTGTTTCTAAATATGTTTAACGTATTTCTAGGTGTACACTGTATACATGCCGCGCAACTTTACTGTCTCATATTTCACACATTCAAGCACACCAAGGTTTTCACCCGCATTCCTTCACCAGGGTTAATTAACAATATTATTAAGAAATATTAGAAATGTCGTAAATCATTGCAAAATTTGCCATCACAGGCAGTATGGGAAAAATTAAAGCTATGCCTTTGTAACAATTGTATTAAACAATAGAGAGTTTTATTCATTTTTACATGTTATACAACTTATAAGTAAAAGTTCGTGAATATATAGAAATATTTGAAAAATGCATAAAATATAAAAACAAACTTTTTTCTGTTCCAATATCTATAGTAATATTATTTTACATTGTCCGACAGAATCCATCTAAATACTTTGTAAATCCTTGTAAATCGGAAATGCCACTCTAAGAGAGATAGAATAGAGGAAGGGAGGGGGAAATGAAAAAGGGATGGGAAAATGAAGGAGGGATTGGGAAAATGAAGGAGGGTTTGGGAAAATGATGGAGGGTTGGTGGATAGATTAGAAAGGGAGCGGAAAATGAAGGAGGGATGAGGAAGAATAGAGGAGGGGGATGGAAAGAGTGAGCAGTTAAGATTAGGAAAGGAGGGATGGAGGAATGGAGGAGGGTGGAGGGGTGGAGTTGAGAAGAGTTGGTTAGAAAAAAGGAGGATGGGGAGAGTAAATTAGGGAGTGGGAGAACGAACAAGGAATGGGGAAATGAAGGAGGAAAAGGAATGGAGTAGGGACGAGGGAAAGGTGAAGGAAGGAGGAGACAATGCTGGAAAGAGGGGGTATGAAGGAGGGCTGGGTAGGATATGGTGGGGTTAGGAGAGAATAAAGGGAGGAAAATAGGAGAGGGATGTGGGAGGATGAAAAAGGGAGGAAAAAAGGAATAATGAAGTATAGAAAGTATATTGGAATAGTAAAGGAATAATAGAGTATAGGAAGTATATTGGACTAGTAAAGGAATAATGGAATATAGAAAGTATATTGGAATAGTAAAGGAATAATAGAGTATAGAAAGTATATTTGACTAGTAAAGCAATAATGAAGTATAGAAAGTTTATTTAACTAGTAAAGGAATAATGGAGTATAGAAATTTTAATGGACTAGTAAAGGAATAATGGAGTATAGAAAGTATATCGAACTAGTAAAGGAATATTGTAGTATAGAACGTATATTAGACTAGTAAAGGAATATGGAGCATAGAAAGTATGTTAGACTAGTAAAGGAATAATGGAGTATAGAAAGTATATTGCTCAAAGGAAAGAAATAACGCAGTTAAAAAGTATATCGAACAAGTAAAGGAATAATGCAGTATAGAAAGTATATTAGACTAGTAAAGGAATAATGGAGTATAGAAAGTATATTGGACTAGTAAAGGAATAATGGACTACAGAAAGTATATGGAAATAGTAAATAAATAATGGAGTATAGAAAGTATATTGGACTAGTAAAGGAATAATGGAGTATAGAAAGTATATAGGACTTTAAAGGAATAATGGAGTATAGAAAGTATATTGGACTAATGTAGGAAAAATGTAGTATAGAAAATATATTGAACTAGTAGAAGAATAATGGAGTATAGAAGTATATTGAACTATTTAAGGAATAATGGAGCATAGAAAGTATATTTGACTATTAAAGGAATAATGGAGTATATAGAAAGTATATCGAACTAGTAAAGGAATTATGGAGTATAGAAAGTATATCGAACTAGTAAAGAAATAATGGAGTATAGAAAGTACATTGGACTAGTAAAGGAATAATGGAGCATAGAAAGTATATTGAACTAGTAAAGGAATATTGGAGTATAGAAAATATATTGGACTAGTAAAGGAATAATGGAGTATAGAAAGTTTATTGGACTAGTAAATGAATAATGGAGTATAGAAAATATATTGAACTATTAAAGGAATAATGGAGTATAGAAAGTATATTGGACTAGTAAAGGAATAATGGAGTATAGAAAGTATATTGGACTAGTAAAGGAAAAATGGAGTATAGAAAGTATATTGAACTAGTAAAGGAATAATGGAGTATAGAAAGTATATTTGACTAGTAATGAATAATGAAGTATTGAAAGTATATTGAACTAGTGAAGCAATAATAGAGTATAGAAAGTATTTTGGGCTAATATAAGAATAATAAAGTATAGAAAGTATATTGAACTAGTAAAGGAATAATGAAGTATAGAAAGTACATTGGACTAGTAAAGTAATAATGGAATATAGAAAGTATATCGAACTATTAAAGGAATAATGGAGTATAGAAAGTATATTGAACTAGTAAAGGAATAATGGAGTATAGAAAGTATAATTGACTAGTAATGAATAATTGAGTATTGAAAGTATTTTGAACTAGTGAAGCAATAATAGAGTATAGAAAGTATTTTGGGCTAATATAGGAATAATGGAGTATAGTAAGTATATTGAACTAGTAAAAGAATCATGGAGTATAGAAATTATATTGGACTAGTAAAGGAATAATGGAGTATAGAAAGTATATTGGACTAGTAAAGGAATCATGGAGTATAGAAAGTATTTCGAACTAGTAAAGGAATAATGGAGTATAAAAAGTATATTGAACTAGTAAAGGAATCATGGAGTATAGAAAGTATATTGGACTAGTAAAGGAATAATGGAGTATAGAAAGTATATTGAACTAGTAAAGGAATAATGGAGTATAGAAAGTATA